AGCAATCCAGGGTTTATATACATCATTGAGCCAGAGCAATATCTCTTTTGAAACGTATGAGATGTAAAAAAAGATACTCAAAATGACATACTTTAGAAACAAAAGTGAATGCAATTAATGCAATGCAATGCAATTCTAAATAATAGAGTAATGACTTAAATTGCTAGATTATATTACACAGCTTTTTAAATAAAATAACCAAATGTAGCCTATTACTAGCTGTATACAAAAGAGAAAGCATGCAACCTATACACATCGTACAAAACATTAGGAATGCCTTCCTAATATTGAGTTGCACTCCCCTTTGCCCTCAGAACAGCCTCAATTCGTTGGGGTATGGACTCTACAAAGTGTCAAAAGCGATCCACAGGGATGCTGGGCCATGTTGACGCCAATGCTTCCCACAGTTGGCTGGTAGTGGATCTCTACTCCGAATGAGTCATTCCATCTCATCCCACAGATGCTCAATTGGATTGAGATCTGGTGACTGGGCAGGCCACTGCAGTAAGCTGAATTCATGTCATGTTTGTGGAACCATTCCTGGACAATCCTAGCCTTGGGGCATTATCCTGCTGAAAAAAATGGTTACACGGCTGCCATGAAGGGATGCACCTGATTGGTAATAATGTTCAGATATCCTGTGGAATTCAAACATTGCTCCACTTTTATCAAGGGGCCCAATGTGCCATGAAAACACACCCCACACCATCTCCACCAGCCTGCAATGTTGACACGCGGCATGATGGATGCATGTACTCATGGTTTTCTCCATACCCTAGTCCCCCATCAGCGTGAAACAGCAGGAACTGGGATTCATCAGACCAGGCAATGTTTTTCCAATTCTTCAGTGTCCAGTGTTTTCGTTCCTTAGCCCACTGCTACTTCAGTTTCTTGTTTTCTGCTGAAAGAAGTGGAACTCTGTAAAGTCGTCAGCTGCCATATCCCATTCGTGTCGAGGTACGATGAGTTATGCATTATTTTATGGGTCTTTGGGCACCAATGTTGTACTGGACTGTCAGTTGACTAAATGTAGCCCGTCTGTTGCTCTGCACAATTCGTGTCAGCCTCCTTTGTCCTCGTTCATCAATTATCCGTTTTCGACCACTGGCCTGTCGTTGGTTGGATGTCCTTTGGGTGGTGGACAATTCTTGATACACACGGGAAACTGTTAAGCGTGAAAAACACAGCAGCGATGCAGTTTTTGACACACTCAAACCGGTGCACCTGGCACCTACTACCATACCCTGTTCAAAGGCACTTAAATATTTTGTCTTAAATGTTGCAGTAGCTGTTATCAAATTATTTATGTTGTGTTGTTTCATAGCTGGTAGCTAATCACACAATGAAATACAAATCCTATTATATATATATATATATATATATATATATATATATATATATATATACAGCTGCGGAAAAAATTAAGAGACCACTGCAAAATGATCAGTTTCTCTGGTTTTACTATTTATAGGTATGTGTTTGGGTAAAAATAACATTTTTGTTTTATTCTATAAACTACTGACAACATTTCTCCCAAATTCCAAATAAAAATATTGTCATTTAGAGCATTTATTTGCAGAAAATGACAACTGGTCAAAATAACAAAAAAACTTCAGAAATCAATATTTGGTGGAATAACCCTGATTTTCAATCACAGCTTTCATGCGTCTTGGCATGCTCTCCACCAGTCTTTCACATTGATGTTGGGTGACTTTATGCCACTCCTGGCGCAAAAATTCAAGCAGCTCGGCTTTGTTTGATGGCTTGTGACCATCCATCTTCCTCTTGATCACATTCCAGAGGTTTTCAATAGGGTTCAGGTCTGGAGATTGGGCTGGCCATGACAGGGTCTTGATCTGGTGGTCCTCCATCCACACCTTGATTGACCTGGCTGTGTGACATGGCGCATTGTCCTGCTGGAAAAACCAATCCTCAGAGTTGGGGAACAATGTCAGAGCAAAAGGAAGCAAGTTTTCTTCCAGGACAACCTTGTACGTGGCTTGATTCATGCGTCCTTCACAAAGACAAATCTGCCCGATTCCAGCCTTGCTGAAGCACCCCCAGATCATCACCGATCATCCACCAAATTTCACAGTGGGTGCGAGACACTGTGGCTTGTAGGCCTCTCCAGGTCTCCGTCTAACCATTAGACGACCAGGTGTTGGGCAAAGCTGAAAATTGGACTCATCAGAGAAGATGACCTTACTCCAGTCCTCTACGGTCCAATCCTTATGGTCTTTTGCAAACCTCAGCCTGGCTCTTCTTTGGTTCTCATTGATTAAGGGCTTTTTCTAGCTTTGCACGACTTCAGCCCTGCCCCTAGGAGCCTGTTTCGAACCGTCCTCGCCGTGCACTTCACCTCAGCTGCCGTTTGCCATTATTTTTGTAGGTCACTTGATGTCATCCTACAGTTGTTGAGTGACATTCGAATGAGTTGGCGGTCATCCCGGTCAGTAGAGTCGTTTTCGGCCTCTGCCGGTCTGTAGCTTTGAAATTTTAAGGATGGAAGCAACCTGACGCTCACTGTATCCCTCTGCCAGTAAAGCCAGAATTGAACCCTTCTTTTCCTCACTCAAAACTCTCCTTGTCAACTCTTTTGGCATGGTCAATAGTTATTTTTTGATTAATATGACTTTTGAGGTACTATTAGCACTGTTTTTGCCATCCAGCTGGTCCTATTGCAAGAGGATAGTGATGACCACAGCAGTGGTTTTTATACTTTTCCTTTTTCCTAAGATTTGGTTCATGTGATCACCTAATCAGTACCTAATTCAGTAGAATGAGGTGTGCCTGTGTTGGAATTTAACAGACACTGGAATGGAATGGCTATCATACATGTAGAGATGCTGATTTAAGAAAAATGTGCAGTGGTCTCTTTTTTTCATTGTAGAATAATAGACATCAGAACTATGAAATAACACAAATGGAATCATGTAGTAACCAAAAAAGTAATATATTTTATATTTGAGATTCTTCAAATAGCCAACCTTTGCCATGATCACAGCTTTGCACACTTTTGGAATTCTCTCAACCAGCTTCATGAGGTAGTCACCTGGAATGCATTTCAATTAACAGGTGTGCCTTCTTAAACGTTAATTTGTGGAGTTTCTTACCTTCTTAATGCGTTTGAGCCAATCAGTTGTGTTGTGACAAGGTAGGGGGTATACAGAAGATAGCCCTATTTGGTAAAAGACTAAGTCCATATTATGGCAAGAACAGCTCAAATAAGCAAAGAGAAACGACAGTCCATCATTACTTTAAGACATGAAGGTCAGTCAATACGGAAAATGTCAAGAACTTTGAACGTTTCTTCAAGTGCAGTCGCAAAAACCATCAAGCGCTATGATAAATATAAAATATAAATATGCCATTTAGCAGACGCTTTTATCCAAAGCGACTTACAGTCATGCGTGCATACATTTTTGTGTATGGGTGGTCCCGGGGATCGAACCCACTACCTTGGCATTACAAGCGCCGTGCTCTACCAGCTGAGCTACAGAGGACCACTCTCTCATGAGGACCACCACAGGAATGGAAGACCCAGAGTTACCGCTGCTGCAGAGGATAAGTTCATTAGAGTTACCAGCCTCAGAAATTGCAGCCAAAATAAATGCTTCACAGAGTTCAAGTAACAGACACATCTCAACATCAACTGTTCAGAGGAGACTGCGTGAGTCAGGCCTTCATGGTTGAATTGCTGCAAAGAAACCACTACTAAAGGACACCAATAAGAAGAAGAGACCTGCTTGGGCCAAGAAACATGAGCAATGGACATTAGACTGGTGGAAATGTGTCCTTTGGTCTGGAGTCCAAATTTGAGATTTTTGGTTCCAACCGCCGTGTCTTTGTGAGACGCAGTGTGGGTGAACGAATGATCTCTGCATGTGTAGTTCCCACCGTAAAGCATGGAGGAGGTGGTGTTATGGTGTGGGGGTATTTGCTGGTGACACTGTCTGTGATTTATTCAGAATTCAAGGGACACTTAACCAGCATGGCTACCACAGCATTCTGCAGCGATACGCCATCCCATCTGGTTTGGGCTTAGTGGGACTATCATTTGTTTTTCAACAGGACAATGACCCAACACATCTCCAGGCTGTGTAAGGGCTATTTTACCAAGAAGGAGAGTGGTGGAGTGCTGCATCAGATGACCTGGACTCCACAATCCCCTGACCTCAACCCAACTGAGATGGTTTGGGATGAGTCGGACGGCAGAGTGAAGGAAAAGCAGCCAACAAGTGCTCAGCATATGTGGGAACTCCTTCAAGACTGTTGGAAAACCGTTCCAGGTAAAGCTGGTTGAGAGAATGCCAAGAGTGTGCAAAGCTGTCATCAAGCCAAAGGGTGGCTATTTGAAGAATCTCAAAATATATATTTTGATTTGTAAAATTTTTTGGGGGTTAATACATGATTCCATATGTATTATTTCATAGTTTTGATGTCTTCACTATTATTCTACAATGCAGAAAATAGTAAAAATAAAGAAAAACCCTTGAATGAGTAGGTGTGTCCAAACTTTTGACTGGTACTGTACATTCTGTTGTTCACAAACTAGGTGGTTTTTCAACGTCTGAGTTTGCTTCAACTGCTAGCAAAGACACATCTGCACACTGTCACTGATGGTTTTCTTGAATGCCCTCGTTGCCATGGTAACCTCCCGCCCTTAAAGGGACAGCTGGACACATTTGTCTGGGATATTTTGGTTAAAAGACTCAGGTCACAAAAAATTATATAACATTTAGCAATATACCACATCACTACTTACTAGTAATACATTTATTGTTTGAGAAATATTACAAAGCACGCTCATCTGTTTTTTTTGTCGTTTTTTGTAATTATGGCAAGAAAATATTTTGCCTAGTAAAAAATACTGTATGAGTGGACTAAAAAGTTGGTTTTAGGCCCTGATTTTAAATGCACCATGTCCAGTCCAGTAGAAATTATGGTCGGGCCAGTAGATTTTTGGCCAACAGGCCCGAGTGGGCCAGTGAGAAAAAAAGTTAACGTTGGACCCTGGCCTCATCAAACAACTGGAGAGGGAGAGAGAGCATCCTTCCTTGCTTACCTGGGCTCTGAATGTCACCAGGTTAGAGGGCAGCAGTAGGATAAGGCACTTGAACCCCATGAAGAAGAACTTGAGCATAAAGTTGGTGACGCCCACCGCCCATAGGACCTCCCAGAAACCCAGGGGCTCAACAGCTGGGCTCAGGAAAATTAGGCTGAGAAGGAGAGAGAGGGAAAGATGGATGAGAGGATGTGGATGACGTATTATGCTCCCAGTCCTGATTTTTTAAATTGTTTGTCTGTTTTGTGTATTAATCATACCACGCTGTGAAGCCAAAGGCAAATTTCCATATATTGTGTAGAATTTTTTTTTTTCTATTCTATTCTGGTCTACTGTGAGCATGTAAAGTAAGGGGAAACTTACCAATAGTAAAGTGACTCAGTGAGAAAAGTGTAGTAAAGCAGGAGTGTGGAGGACGCCAGGAAGAGGAGCAGCCATACGCACTCTATACTTGACCGACGATCCTGAGGAGAAATACATGGAGGACGATCAAATGCAGATTGAGGTTTGAGTACAGTATGTTAAAGCACTGATGTATAAATTGAGAATATATATTTTCTTCCGTTAATGACTTACCTGAAGAAAGACTTGGGTTTGAATGTTCTTATTCGCATAAAGAAAAGTTGTAAACAAGCCAACTCCGACAGCTAGACCTGCAACAAAGTCATGGAAGAGATGTCAGACAAACTTACTAGATAAATAGAAGATTGTTCCTTACTGTATATGTTATTATTACCTGACACTTACCTAGGGCATGCTGGATGACCAGTTTAGCACTGAGGATGATTATGAAAGGAAGACTCTTCTGAACCCAGCGGAAGAGGTAGCGCAGCTCTGAGAACGAGGTGCTGGGCTCCCCTGACTCCAGATCAGCATCAGCCGGGTCCGTCTCACTGGGCTCACTGTGAGAGTGCTGGTGTCCCCCACCATGTGAATGGGAGTGGGAACTGGTTCTGGAAGTGGCTCTGGACCTACGGGATGACGCCCCTCCTCCTCCTCCGCCACTGGGCTCCCCGGGCCCGCTGGAGAGAATAGGTACCCGGAATTCATCACTGGTCTCTGGGATGGCAGAGCCCCCGGTAGCCCCTGCTGGTGTCCTGGTCAGTAGTTCTGGCTGTATAGTCAGGGAGAAGCCATTTCCTGCCTGATGGGCAACCAGCTCGCTGTAGTTAGGTTGCATCACAGTTGGTGATTCCCTCGATTTCAACGTTCTTCTGGAATCACTCCTTCAACAAATACATTGAGGTAAAGAGGAGAGACAAGAGGATGTAGCCTAGTTATAATGCGCAGATGTTAGCTAACAATCTAGCTAAGTTAGCTAGGCCTAGGGGAGAGGGGTAAGTTGAGCCAAAGGGGTAAGTTGAGCCAACCTTGTTTCTAGGAAACCATACACAAAATGAATCATTTCACCAAATATTTTGGAAGAGGTCATCATTTCATGGAGTCTGAAGGAAGAAACCACATGTAAAAAGTGGTAAGCAAGTTAGGTCCAAAAACGGAAGTCAAATGAACTTATTGTGTTAGTAGTTTCATGATGCTTGTATCTAAACCAAAGTAGATAATTTTAAGATTGTTCTATAAATCATTTGAGGTCCTAAACCTAGCATGAAAGTGCATCATTGTAGTTGTGTGGGTTAATATAGTCAAAATGTTTCCCTTGGGGTATGTTGAGCCAATGGCCATTGGGTAAGTTGAGCCAATGGCAAGTTGAACAATTGAAGTGTTTTCTTCCCAGGCGTAATGCAAGGTATTATTGCTGGGATATGAGGTAACAACAGGGCCTAGCCTATGTAAAAAGTGTTTTAAAAAGTACAAAGTGTTTGTTAGGTGTTACGCCTGTGTTAAAAGGTGCTTAAAATAATTAAAAGACAAAAAAGTGATTGTGATGAATTGTATTTGGGGTAAGTTTTTTGGACAAGCTTTGTTCTCAAAACTGTAATGTTTACATGAATTCTGATTATTTCCAGGGATACACAACATCCTGAAATATATGTAGATATATATTTGTTAGAAATAATACTATATTCCCCTTGATGGAGTGATGCTGAATGTAAAAAAAATCGCTCGACTTAACCCACTCTCCCTAACTAGCCTAGGCAGCTGCTTGTGGCTGCTAGATCTGCACTATCATCTGGGATTGATGTGCTTTCCAGGTAATACACTGGTGTACCCCGTGGACCGGCTCGTACACAAAGCATCCTCCATTCAGGCTGCAAAGGCATACTTTCCCTCCTTAACTAGCTTTAATGGCAAGCCGACCAATATGTGTAGTGTCTTAAAACATCATTTTCCGCCATCACTTTCGGATTTTCGGACAACTTTGTTTGCACACCGCGTTCAACCTAGACGATTGCGCAGATCTACCGGCCACTATCTGCTGCCTACTACGACTAGGCTACTCCCCTACTAGCTAGCTAGAGGTTGTTGTTGACAGCTTGATAACGTTAAACCATTGTAATGCAGTCTAGCTAATGTTACTTGGGCTGGCTAAATGACAGTCAGAGATTCAGGACAGTGTTATCACCAGTATATCAATACCCACTTTTGTACCAGTCTAGCAACTGTTTTCTCTTTTGTTTACATAAGGAGTGACAATTAGCTAACGTTAGCTAGCATTTAGCTAGCGAAACAGATAACTGTGTGACAAGCTGTCTGATCAACATTACAATTGACACTGACAGCTCTTTGGCAAATAGAGGCTGTTGACACTGATGACATGAGAGTAATGGCAGTTAGTTGTTCGTTAGACTTCAAGTGACAGATATTTGCTATCAGCTAGCTAGGCTAACGGTATGCCATTTCATTAGCAATGCGAGCAAAAAGGCTATAAGTACCTGTCATACTGAGTCCGGAGTTTCATGATAAGCCACCGTTCGCCATCTAATACACAAAATTAACCAAAAATGTAAATAAAATAAACGATCTAAAAGCAAGCTAAGCCATAAGCCTATCGTTTGGAAGACATCTTGAATACGACAGGCGGCAGCATCGACGTCGCGAACTGACGTAAAATTGGACAAAGGTGAAAGAGAACCAACTCAGGGAAGGAGTCAGTGAATTGGAAATAGACATATACATTTTATTTACTTTACTTCTAATGTGATGTAGGCTAAGCAACAAAAAGTTATCCCATAAATCAATCCCCTTCAATTTATTTTTGTTTCGTGAAGCTCTACGCCAGAAGAACAGGTAGGCGATAGCCACAGGCTCAGGGTCAGATATGTTTTCATCCCCTTTGGTTAAGTTTAGGGCTGGGGTGAAGTAATCTGATCCTAGATAAGCAACTACCTTGAGCGTCCCCAGCTGCAGTAGGCTAGTTGACGACAGACATCACATTAGCTTAGTGTATTTCTGAGTGACGTTGTATTGCTGGCATATTTCCCCTGTGGCAATGTCTGTCAACTGGTGATGTTACAATATGATAAGTGCTTAGTTGAGTCATATTCATAGCCTCCTATGTGGTTATTGTTCTCTGTTGATGCTTGTTTAATTGGTTGGTGGTTGGCTTATCTAATGGTGTTTGTTTACTGTCATAAAATTGTACAGTATTATCATCTGTCCTATGATCTTGACTAAAGCTGAATCGCCCCCCCCCCCCCCCCCCCTCTCTCTCTCTCTCTCTCTCTCTCTCTCTCTCTCTCTCTCTCTCTCTCTCTCTCTCTCTCGCTCTCTCTCTCTTTCTCTGTGTCTCACATAGGCCTATGAGAAACCCTGTGGTGTTTACGATTAACTATTGCATAGCAGTGTGACTTTAATTATACATATTTAGGGGTGTTTTGAAGTGCTATGAAAGCAATTTCGGATTTGTAATAGCTGTGCAGGGTTCAACATTTCACCCTGGGCTGGGACACTATGAACATGGATGTCCTTGCATGTTCAATTAACATGCAAGGAACAAAGAGCATTGAGAAATGTCTCTGTATGCAGTGTATTGTCATGTCCTGATTATGCAGTACTGTATGTTTAATCTATGCTTCTGCAGTGGGCAGTGGATCAAACCCCTTCAACAGTGTATATTTACCAGAGGAAACAAGCCCATCTCATCTGAACATGAACAGGCTGTTAATATTCCTCTATTACCTGGGTCTATAGCCTCGGTCCCCAGGTGCTGCTGGGCCCCATGCCAGCCATCTGCTCCAGCAGGCCTGGGGTCCGGCTGTGCTGGGCTCACCTGCAGCTAATGCCAGTGGCAGGTGATCTCCCATTGTGTAATGGATGAGGCCTTCCCGCTGGAAGAGAGGGCAGCTGCCAGAATGATACTCAGATTTATTTAGAGACATTCCCACACAGGCTCTCCAGAGACTCGAACGATTGAACACACACCAAACAATGTGAGGTCATGTAGAAAACGAAAACATTTTAAGGTTATTATCATATCATTATTGTATGATCATACATATGGTCTGCATATTCTGTACATAGGCTAGCCATACTGTATAGATACTGTATGACACCTCTATAAGCGGATAAAAAATGTTCTGACATATTATCCATCTATAAAAGTGCTAAAGTATACCTCTTTCACATACAGCATTCTCCACAGATGAATCTCTACAAATACTGTTTGTGATTGATGATATACTCCTCTGTAACCCCTCTCTGATTTATTTCTCTGAGAGGTTGTATTCTTTAATCTAGGTCTCCGGGGTTGCCTCTACAGTGAAGCAGGGGCTAATATGAGCTACAGCGTTTTGTGATCAGGGCAGCAGCGCAAGGCTAGCTAGCTGTACCCAGTCATCATCCTGAAAGGAGGTTAATATGGTGTGGCTCTGAGCTACTTCCAGTTCCCCTGACTCTCTTCCGCCTCCCTGCCTACTCACTGCCCTGTAATTGTGTTATTACGTCGTAGGATTGTCAGAGGACTCCTGGGCCCCAGTGAAGATGTCTGAGCACGGAGCAGCAGTGCCTGTGGAAGTTAACTTGACATATAAATTGCTATCTGACTGCCGGGAGATAGATGAATGAAGCTCGCCAGAGAACAGATGCAGGGAGCAGTGACCTGACATTGCTTTTGACAGACTCTCTGTCGACTCTCTCTCGCTTCCCCCCTCGTTCACTCGCTGTCTCTCTGTTCACTTTGTCAGCTGCTGTTTCTTCCTTTGATATCTTTACTACAAGAGTTGCCACTGACGGAACAGTCAGAACCATGTTTGCCATGGGCTTACTGGGCTGTGTAGGCGTAGAGACAGGTTGGGGACAGGTGGTTATGCATGGTGGTGAAGTGACTCATGTTGTTGAGGTCACAAGTCAGGTCACAAATGTCATTAGGAGTATTTAGGTCAAATGCATATTGAATTAGCCTGGTCTCTTTGTGCTGTTTTGCAAACTCATATAATGGGACCAGGCTAATGATGTATAACTTTCCCAGATGCTTAGCAATGACCTCGTAGTAAGAAAAGGAACCATCAGCTTACAGTTATGTTTCTCAAGAGGATGTAGTTCAACCTCTGTATGTTGTTAAGGAAACATGTGGTGATGATGTTATCTGTTCTATCTTCATACAGTAATACAGCTGATCACACTGCACAGTACAGGTCTAGTCATTGTGCTCTGTTTATTGCAGCAAAACAGAGCAGATTCTGCGCCTCCATGCCCCAGCTCTTACGGTGACCATTACATACCAGCTATGTTTGTGCAGCTGAGGAGACAAAAGAGTTGACGACTGATTGATATCCTGTTAGGTTGTGGAGATGTTGTTGTGACTGTGTGTGTGTGTGTGTGTGTGTGTGTGTGTGTGTGTGTGTGTGTGTGTGTGTGTGGCTTTTTGAGGTCACTCTTACACCAGTCTGGAGACCTTCCAGTTGGCAGGGCATTGTGTACACAAACAGCACATCTGTTATTTTGCAGCGTGGTGGTGGACTGGGCAAGGTAGGACAAACAGGGCCAGATAGACACATCCCAGCTAGCACATTTGGTTCTTTGGAAGTTGTGGGAATGTATGTTTTTGGTTTAATATTTGTTGTGGGAACGAAGCCATACGTTTTCTGGTAAAACTTCTGAGAGCAGAAGTGAAACTTTCGACTGTTCTGGGAACATTTATTTTTTTGGTTGCAGGGAGCTTCTGAGAACGTTTTACTCTGGTTCCTTGAAAGTTTTCCTGGGAGGACAATATAAAAGAGGAAAATAGCCTGTAAGTCAATAATTGTCAATAATTGTTCTATGGATGTGTGTGTGGGCGAG